CTTAGACAAGTGTTTAGGTCGGCATTTAACAGTTATACAATCAATGTTGACATTTGAGAATTTGAAGCAGACGTTGTTGGCAGTAGACCACTGAAAATTAATAAAAGTGGCAACACCTCCACCTCTCTTCTTCTTTGAGCTGCATCGGCCTTGTCTGTACATTGTGAAATCAGGTAAAGAGACTAAATTATCGTCATATGAATCGTGCAGCCAAGTTTCTTGAAGAGTAATTACAGCAGTATTACAATATACATTTGAGTATAATAGTGAATGCAAGTAATTAATCTTGTTTGGTAGAGATCTGCAATTTGTGCTCATAATCACAGGAACAGTCATCAAATGCATCGGAGTACGCTTTAAAGCTCGTTGCCATCCACCATGAGGCTTTTTCTTAAGTTTGTTAGAAACTAGTAAATCAGCCGGTTGGAAACGTTTTAAATAACCGCGAGAGTAAACAATACGATTAAAACACATAATTGAATGATCAAAATAAAATAAATCCGAGGAAATAGATGCAATATGTAGGATGGAAATTTTGGTAGCCCAAGATATAAGCAGGCCGCCATTGAACAGATTTCAACAATAATGGTGCCTAGGATTATGCCATATAAATTATTTTAACTTATGCAGAGCGTGCTTACGGTCAATATTCCATTATCTTCCCTTGTATATATATCTTGCGTTAGTGGAAAATTTCAAACATGTTTACTCCATGTGTACATTATTATCATATTGATGATGCCTGTCAACTGGAGTCCCTCATGTGCATAAAGTGAGAATATATTATTATAAGACGCATTTTATTGTTATATGAGTGAATTGACTTCATGCTTTATTTTTTCCCAAGTATCTGTAATCCATCCAACGCATACTTGGGTTTCTTTCTTGGTGTGGTCCATTGAATCACTAGTTATCAAATTTTTCCCACAAACTGAAGATAAAATGACAGCAACTATATTATTTAACCGTAAATCATGCAATTTAAGTATGTAACTTAGATAATACTTATCCATGCCTATACAACTAAAGTGTCCTACATTTGTAGGAATAAATATATACCTTATTATGTCATCATTACTATCTATACTTACTAATCGTATGTGTAATTTATCGAATTGTTGATGCCTGTAGACTGGCATCCGCCATGTACAAAACTGAGAATATATTATTATATGGGTTTGATTTAAGCAACGTTTGAACGCGTGCTTTTAGTTTTGATGCATTCGTGATTACCGTCTATACGGGGAGAAAAAATGGTATATTGGTGGGTGGTATACGAAAATTATGCTTACTCGGAATGATGGCTGAAGAGATGTTATTGTCGGAGCCTACTGACGATTTGCAAAGCTACTCTGTAATAAAGATATTTTGGTGGGGTTGATTAAGCGGGGAGAAGGTGTTGCACGTTATTGCGATGTATCAGGAGACTGTGTTTGATAGAAAGACTGTTAGGAAAAGAGTTGGAGCTCAGATATCTCGATTTTCCGACGCAAAATCGTTCGCCTAACACGGGTTGCAGGCGTACTGTACTACGATTACTCAAGGGCAGTACATCAATACATTGTACACGAAATTAGGCGAACTATCTGTTTGTGTATGTCAGTAGTTTGCACTAGTTTAAATTGTTGCTGGATATTCATTGGTTAATTTTTAGTTTCTTCATTTTGTTCAGTCACATAAACTTCGTTAAAATTTCATCATGCTCACTTTCGAATTCGTTCCGAGTCTTCCCTATCCATGAACAGACTGGGTGAAAACCAACTAAAATCATTAAGTGGGATTTAATACGCCAGGGAGACTTGAGCTGAAAGTGACAGACCACACAGCGAGACCAAATGCCATTCATTCGGTGTTCGCGTAAACAAAGCAAAGTTTTGATACAGTTGTCGTAGGGAGTCTTACAAGCTGGGGAACTGGAGAGTAAACGTCTTACATATGTCACTTCTAATAAGTACGACGCAGGGAGAGTGAGAAGCGATAGCAGGGATCACGAGTGCAGGGCACGCAAGAGGTTGTGCAAAGAGTACAGTGTGGTACTGCTAGGGTCATGCTGCCTTCTGCAAGAGTCGCTATAGTAGGTGGCGCTAGTATTACAAGCTGTCAAGAAGAAGCAAGAACTGGAAGTCAATCTAGCGTGAGCTCTAACGCCTGTAGCTGAATTGTGCATGTTTTCTTCAACGAGTGAGAGTGTGCACTGGCGTGATGCGGGCATTTCTTGTCCTTTTTTGACTGCCATTCTAGACTTCATCCTTAACGGCACAGGTCTTCTTGCCGACAGTCAAGTCAAAGTATATTGGTTGCAGTGGGAACAAAGAATGGATCTTTTCCCGCCTGGGAGTGCCAATATTGTGAATATGGAATGAATGTTCAGTTACCTGACAGATTCAGACTGATTTAGTTTCCATCGGTGGCTACAATCCCTACTGTGATCTGGTTGCATGCTGCTAAGCAGGAGACTGGAACCATTCGATATGAAATATTATTGTGAATTTTACTGACTTTTTTATAAACTTTGAAGCTGCATCATTTGAACCTGTGACGTTTTTAAACTGTAACTTCTGGTACTTTAACCATTTGTTCTTCAACTGTCTTGCATGCTGGTCTACTGTTAGTGGAGCAACTAACCATCCTGTTATTTACCTCTTATCGTTTATGTGATAATCTTTAATAGCATATTCAGTGTCTCTAATTCAATTAAGCCGGGATAATTATCATATTCAACCTCTGGGTTTCAAAGACGTACAGTTTACGACAATCCATTTAGGTTGTGCACATGATCAATTAATAGTTGATTACAACCAAAATCTGAATTTATGGATCAAATATTTTGTATGTGTACCTCTATGTATTCGGGGATTATATCACCACAGATATAGTAGATGTCTTTGGCTAACCAATACACAAAATATGGATTCCACAGGATAAATAGCGAATATATCCACAATGAATGAAACTCGTACACGATACACTTTCATACCAGTTTGCCATTTAGTGATGCTAAAGAACAAACTCTTAATTAACCATAAGACTACCGATTTTATTAGCACACCGAATTCGGACGGAGGAGGGAAATGAAGTCTTGATAGCATTCAATTTACTCTTTCCTACTGAAATTGTCTTATACAAATAAATCCATACCGTATTTTTAAGTTAACTGCAACCGATACTAATTTGTTATTAGAATTTCGTCAACCAGTGTTTCCCCTAACGCTGACTAAATCATAATATGTCCTGAACCCAACCTATGACTTTCGACTAAGCAAATAAAGAATAAACTTTGATTTTCGTCCATGACCTACCAGGCCGTCAAAGCTGCTTGACTCTTCTATACGCTGACGGCTTAAAGATACGGAGGGCAATTAAGTGTTCGGGAGGCTCAGATAGGCTGCAGGCAAATCTAAAGCTTCTGGAAGACTCGGCAGTAACCAGTGCTATGACTTTCCACTTGAAAAGGTGCAGAGAAGAGAAATCACGCACCTGTAGATTGCAGAATGCAGGTCACAGCCCGTGCAACGGAAGCTTGTCCTGCACAACGTTGGAGCGTGACATAGGTCTTGTTCTAATGGAAAAACTGAACACAAGTGTAGATAACATGGGGTACGTTGTGAGGGCATATGAGGTCATAGACTTTAAAGATAAACAACTAGGTGCAATCACGCCTGAGCTCTTTCTTAGGTCATGCAAAACATACGTCAGACCACACCTTGAAGTGCATATTATCAACGCAACCCCACTGCTTAGAAGAGACGAAGAGCTCTTGGAAAAAGTCCAAAGACGGAAGGCAAAAGAAATGGAGGATCTCAGATATAAACCGCTTGATGAAGGGCTAAAGAAAATCAGCCAATTAACACTTAGTTACTATCGGCTTGGGGGTGTTAAAAAAAGACCTATAAGATTGCGAACGACCAGAATCACCCGAACAAAGGTATTCTGCCATTATGCACGTATGGGTTACCTCGTAGCAATCCACGAGGGATAGCTCACCAGAAGGAAAAGACTGGAGTGCGTTCCTACTTCTTTTCAGTGCGAGTTCACCGTTCCGGGAACTCTTCATCGGCAGATGCAGCTACGGCGCCGTCCGTGGACACCTTTAAGCAAAGGCTGGAAAATCACACAGCGACACCAGGACTCTTTTCGCACGACCTATCCCCCTTAAATCCCATATGCCATTCATGGGTAGACACCTAAAGTCATCGTTTCACTCCACATTCCGTCTTGTCTTACTCTCCTGACCACTACAACTATTACGTCCTCTACACTATTGATGTTATGGGTATATATGTATATATATATAAATATATCAATTTCAAATTTCATTAGCTGTCCGCTTTTACGCTTTCTTTATTCCCTTTTTTGTCTTTTAGTCGACATAACCTACACTAATTTTATCTGTTGTTATTATTATCTCTTTTCTTTTGGTCATGATACCGGAGCACTAACTGGTGCAAGGATTAACTCTATTCACAGTAGCAACACTGTCTTAACAGACTGCATACTACAAACTACATATAATTAATCCCAGCACCAATCAATTTGGAGTCAACCGAAGCTACGAGACGAAAGGCGGGATGAACTAAGCAGAAGTTAACGAAAGATCAGAGACCTTTACCTCACAACCAAGAAGCGAGCACGAAGAAATCAAACTGGTTTACACTAGCTCGTAAAAAGCGACATTGGATTTCGGACCACTGATTTTGCCTAAATGCAGTGATTGATTCCAAATGACTAACAGTTAGAGGAAAAGAAATGCAATAATGATAAACTGGCAGATAATATCGCAACAACTCAGAGGATTCTGTCGTATCCAGTATTCGGTTTACTTGATATTTTCGAGTGTTTCATGGTGATTGGTGTATTGTTTCGATCATACCATTATTCATTAACTTAAACTACTGTTAGTTCCATAAAAGAGACAATTCACGAATTTTCTGACTTAATTCTTATTCTAGGTAAATTTGTTTTGTTGAGTACTTGAAACTGCCAAAATTGTTTTAGTGTATCAACGGTTTAAACGGTTCAGGCCGCTTCAAGGCAGTGAAAGAAACATTGCGTGTTTCAAATGGCTAATGAGAAATCACAGAGAAAATTAGTTTTGCACTTTGATGCCAGGAACACTTTATTTCTTTCGGACAAAAGCTACAGATTTACTGTGGAGGAAGCTCTCAATTCATACATCACTGGAATTGTATGGGGTAAGTTTACAGTGCTATTCAGTTATTTCTTTACATGGAAATTGTGTTTGGAGTTAATATCCTTACTAGTAAGTTCTGATATTAGAATATTTTCAGGCTCAAAGCTCGATTTAATGAAAAATCTCGCATAGTAACACACATGAACATTTTTTGTTTAATTATATATATAAACATATAGATATCATAATATCATGACAAACTATAAATTCATAAGTTTCCAGTGAGACATGATGTAGACCTCCAATTTAAAGTGCTGAATATTCTTTTTATATTTTTTATATTACTGTGAAAAGTAGACGTTGTATTACGAAGTCGAAATTGCAAAAATTAGCTGTAGCTTCAAGCTGTAGTTTGAAATGTTTACTGAGACTCTGATGCTGCTGAATTCTATCAAACTGACTTCACTTATCATTATTACTATCTAAATAAAACATAATTTTAAAGACAACGTGATGAAAAATATAAGTTTAGCTACTAATTTTCATCCTAAAGTAGTAGTTAAAAATATGATTCGTTTTCGTAGGTTTGGAAATGCCTGTTAAAGGCAGAATCTCAGAAGACAAATGTCCAAATGATTTCTTTCAACCTATTATTATTAGATTATTCATCCAATAGTTTGGAAATTGATATAATTTGAATAGTTTTAATGAAAGCCTAAAGCCATATAACAAAAATTGAATTTTTTCAGTTCATCTTGTTCCTTGGTTTTGACGGAATCATAAACTAGCACAAACTTATTGTAATTGACATTCATTTTTTTTAAATTAAGTAACACATTTCAGTTTCTCTAGTGTATTCAAAAGAGGCAATGTAATCTGTCAAAACTCATGGATTACAGTAGTTTAATTCTGTATAAAATAATTTTTCATGTTATTTATGACCTTTATCTGTGAATCAGGACTTTTTTATGCAGTTTGGAGGATACTTTTGTAAAACACCGTAGCTCATAATGAAACGCAAAAATATATGTTTCCAATACACTCAAATCAGTGCATATGAAGACTGTACACAACTTAAACCCAATATCCTATAATGTATGTCAATTTGGAACAAGAAATACCAATTAATTTGAAAACGCCACTAGTTATGAAACGGAGTATACATATCTTTTATTAGACAGTATATAGTGCAGCGCAACCATGCTCACATTTAAATTGGTGAAATAAGTTACTTCGGTTTCTCCAAAACTGTTTGTTCTTATGTTTTGCCATATGTTACCTTTAAAATCCGACAATACGTAGTTCTGTAGACGACGTCACATTTTTAGCATTTACGGCAGTTTACAGGCTTCAAAAGTTTTTTTCCAAATAAAGGCCTCAGTGGTTACCGATATGGTTTACTTTTGCTTAAAAGACTGTTCCTAATTTACTATTGTCCTGGTTTGATAATTTTGTATCTCATGGAGTTCATTGAGGTCCTCAGAGAAACTCATAGTTTTGAAGTAAATTATACACTCGGACAACAGACCAGGCAGGCACATTTTAAATGTCTTTCTCTCCAAAATGACTCAAACAGAATTCTCAGTACTTAGAAATATTTCTTCAGACCTAAGTTATTTAATTAATTAACCATATAAGGCCTACCTCTGTAGAAAGTAGCTAGTGACTTCAGATAACGGGGGATTTTATGCTATGTTTTCTTGCAGTCATTTTCTATTTTCTACCCGACTCCAGATACTCTTGGATGCACGCAAAAAATACGAGGAAGACAAGTCCCAGGCTTAAAACTAAATTTCATCAAGATGCACTGCATTATACTATGGTTTTCTTCAGTCTAATTCAACTGGTTTCTCAGAGCTGTAAACTTCACTAACTAACATCATATATATTTGGCACGAGTGGAAAAAGTTTAGTATGGTAACGAAGGGTGGTCTTCAGTGTATTAAGCAAGCTATAGAAAGTATAGTTCCACCTGACAAGCTTTCAAGGTCTAAAACTTCGAATGTTTTTCCTGTGTGCTAGTAAATTGGTTTGCTTTAGTGATTTTTAAAATACCCTCTCTTCAATGCAGCCTTCATCCCTAAAACATACATCGCGTTGCATTTATTAACTGGAAAACTGAAGTGTGACGTCACATGTTTACTTTTATCCAATGCTGCTAACTGTGTATCTAGAGTTTGGTTACCAAAATAGCAAACGGTATTAAGACAGAAATCGATATATGTTGAAAATTTGACTAGTGTTTTAGATATTGCACGAAAGTTGGTCAGAGGATCATGTCATCTGTTTCTTTCTTAGAAACTGACAGAATTTTCTCCTGGGATTCCTCTCTCTGTTTCTTTTCATGAAACTATAATGTAAAGTTTGGTTTGGAAGGTTTACCTTTTTCCAGAATTAGATTTTCACCACATCACAGAACTAAGCATATGCATTCATTCTACTTTTGGCAATAACACTGAGTACATTTAAACTCTAAATAAGGAGGACAGTTGATGGCCTTAGGAGCCGATCACTCTAATAAGCAAGAAAAATCATTGATTGTATGGAGGATTTCATCATGAGCTCATGATGAAATCCTCCATACAATCAAACAAAATCCCTACCAAACCAATACTTGAAAAATCATTGAGTTGATAAATGCTCTTTAGTCTTAAGATCATAAAGACTCTTGAGAAATGTTCACTAATTTCTAATAAACTAAACAAATACTTTACCGTTATAACAACTATGTCGGCTTTTTCCTTCACGTTCCCCAGTGGAACATAGGGCTTCAAGCTAGTGGCTTGAAGTTCCTGTAGCAATGTTTATTTCACAGGATGGGGTTGCTAGCCTCATGCTCAAATAGCATTATTTCTGGCTTAGCGAGGTAAAGGAGCGCGTCGGCCGGGAATCTAACCCCATACTATGTGCATGGTCGGCAAGCGTCCTAACCGCTATGCCACCGACGCACACCTGTCGAACAACCACGGGCCCAGCTGGTTTTACTCAGGTTTATTGTACCGTTAATTCAGTGTTTTTATCATGGAAAACGTTAGTATGTGTCGCTAAACGTGAGTATACTTACAGCACTGTTCCTACTATTTACTTCCAAATCGTAAAACTTCAAAATATACATCTCCAAGGTATTCCGTCATTATCTGTGAAATTACATTTCAGTTCATCCGTTAGATTTTGTGTCCCAGTATCACAATATCAAATCAAATTAACTTAAATTGTCATACTTCGTTGACTCAAATATTTATAAATCCTCTGAAGAAATCCATTTCCTCACTGCCAGATTCATATTTTGATCTATAATATAAAGGAATTCGGTCACCATTATATATTGTGAATAAAGTGAGCTAGACAGCCATCGTTCTATCTGTGAGACACTTCAATCGAACTGTTTGTCTCAAACATGCTGCTTTAATATAAGTATATGTAAACAGGGTGTTATTCGACACTGCTGTTACTCTTGTGAATTAAGCGCATGCAAGAGAAGTATATTTAACTTACATTGAAATAGATGATATCAAATTGTCCGGTCAATTCTCTTGACAAGAGACTGAATCTTAAATTAATACATTAAGTATGGAATTCATTAGTGCTAAGTTTTCACTGTCCCTATTATCATGAAAATAAGTGAGCTTTTCTTGTGTAGAAATAAAAAAGTAAGACAAATAACTAAAAGTGAATGTTCCAGACTACAGAAGCATAGAAAAAGGTCATATTAAATGTCTTCTTAAAGAATGCCAATTAAAGATTTTTCATTTACGATAATATGGCACTCCTGACTAAACAGGCGTAACTAATGAAGACGTGACAAATTTTCAGATATCAAATTGTTATCCATGGAATAACGGGAACTGTGGATTTGAACTAGATCTTTAGTACGTATGTTATAAACATTCTCCACTGACAAGGATATGACTATATTCGGCTGTTATTAACTCTTATACTTCTTTTGTTTTTGAATACAGTTCATTATTGGAGGCAGTTTTGAGACGAAGAGGTGCTATCAGAAGAAGGCTTAAGTCGTTAACACTTCAGTGATAAGCACAGAAAAGATATTTCCATTGGACTGTGATGCAGTTTTAAAATATTAATTGTAGTGTCACGAGAAAAACTGTTGCGGATAGTATTTAAACAAAAAGATATGATAATGCCGAAGTTATTTTAGGACATATAATGTTTTATTTACTGTTTCATTATTTCTACGCATTGTAATTTGATATGGTAAGAAATTTATTAAGTACTCTAAGACTTTTCTTCGTACACGTACGTGAACATGTTTAAATTAGTAGAGACTTCTATGTGAACAATACTGCCTTTTCACTATAAGCTGCTTTCTGAATATATGCCCCTAGGCAGTAGAAATATAAGCTGAAATCTTTTGGCTGTGATTATAACTCAAAGTACAGTCATTTTCAAATTGAAATATACAACTACTGAAGAAATATTTTGTTTACGAAGGATCTAGATATTTTTACCGACGGAATATTCCTGGCAATTATCACACTCTAAAACGATTTTTGGTGCGATTATTTTTCAAGCTACTATATTTAAAATATTCCAGAATTTTATTTAAATCATTTCCGAAATGGGATATTTCACCGATTTACGAAAAGTAGGGGACGGAAGACAGGGATCTATTTCTTCTGTTTACGATTAAGCAAAACGTCCCTAAATTTGCCCTCTAGTGAGCTCTACTTTCACTTTTTGATTTGAAGTGAGGTACACTTTTTCTCTAAGATTAAACTTAAATATTTTAATTCTGGACACTTTTTGTTGAAATAAGTTTAGGATATACTCACTGTTACTTAATTTTCTTTAGTACTTCTTTCCACCTGTTTACTTAACGTTTAACATCTAACCATCACTATCACTTAGCTACTTAAAGATTTAAATGCAGAAAATGTCTTATGAGTGTTCGTTAACCATATGCCTTGTGTATTGAATTAATTTCTTCGCAATTTCATTTATTTTTATCCCCCAAGAAGCATTATGTCATATTTCACCTGGCATCTGTATGACATCAAAAATGCATCTTTTAGTCAGAAATACAAATACTTTGAAGACTTC